AATAATTTATTTCACTTATATTTTATAAATTTTACAGTGTATGTACAGCTAAATACAATCATACAATGTTAAGGCTGTGCTCCACGAGAAATCGACAACACACTGGCAATGTGGAAAGAGACATAATTAGTATTCGCATAGTCAATGACATTACCGTCTTTAACACGTGACATTTCAGTATCCAATAGACCATTTTCCGTTCACGCGTTATGCGTGAAATCGAACGTAAAAACAGGACAAACAAAGGTCATAGCGTCATAGTGGCGTCAAACATCGCGTGGGTTTCGACAAACGCGAAAGTATTTTGGGGGACAATTCCATGCTTAATATTGTGCTGTCCACATTTGATGATAGGCAATTTCGATTAAGTTAGGGTTTCGGAAGCAATATTTCTCTGTGGAAGATCGGCCGGTCGATGTGAGCTACGAAATAAAAAAATTCGAGTTCAAAATCAAATCGTTCGATTTTTGCGGCAGACGTTTGACTCGCGTCTTTCATGCAACTCGCGAGATCTCGCAATTGTACGGAAAATCACTTATTAAAGTTCGTTAAGTATTTCACGGTCATATAGGTACAACACCAAGACAACAAGTGATATGAGGTGCAAGTGGATTATAAGGAATAATCAGATTACATACCTAAGCAGATAATACACTTAATATATTCCGGAAATTTACAAACATGTCTTTAATATGAAATCATCGCCTGGGGTTTGTAACGTGTCCAGCACAGTGGATCACTCAAATGGAAGTTTATCACGGTTGTGGGCGCAATTCTAAATGCCACAATTCGCATTGAACGTTGATAGCTCGGTTTTACGGTTATTACGTGGACGTTAATCATACCTCCGAGAACTACTGATTCCACTCGATTCCATTTTATTTTTTTTAAGTTGTATTCAATAGAATGTATGTTTGTGTCTCGAACTAGGGGAGGTTTGTCGTCTGTAACCCCGTTCGCGGCTGAAAATACATGTACTCAGATTTAAATCGAATGATAGGCATAATTAGGCTTTAATTGTTATGTAGATATAAACTCTAAAAACTAAATAAATTTATAAATTTGGAGCCTATAACCACATTCGATTTTATCTAGACATTGCAGCTTTACATACTTTCTCTTTTAAAAAAAATAAAATATAGGTTGCGTAAGTATATACTGATTCAGAAGTTTAGTAGTTTGGAAAAACTATAAGCTTATTCAATTCCCGCGTCTTTCCCGATGATCTTTAATAACCACCGTTCTCTTCGCTTCCATCGTTCCATTCTGTTGAGTCTCACCCACGGCATTTATTTTACAGAACCGTCCACAGTAACCATAATTGGCGTTAATTACAAAAGTCTGGATAAATTAGCCAAGAAGAATAACAGTGAAGTTGTAGACGGGGAAAACAGGTAAAGAGAAGTCTTGTCGGCATTATAAATACAAGTACCATTGCTGTCGTATTATTAGTGAGTTTTCAATCGCAGTCGGACAAAAACACCAACGCGTGAATGTTAAACAAAGGGATCCTGCAGGTAGACCAGTAGAATTCAGTGTTCCGTCGGATTTGTCAGATAATGACTGAAACCACGTGCAGCAAAGTTTCTTGCTGTTTTTACGTTGTTTTAATATTGTTGAAACGAACGCATTAATCGCAATCGCATTTCTTATATAACCTGATTTCTAGATCTGACACCGTGAAAACACAGCTAAATAGTGGCATCGTATCGCTGCGAGTGATGTTGGACGGGGCTTATACGAGTGTTCCTGTCACGTGCATCTTATCCCACTGGAAGGTATGTTATTATAATACCAGTAATTGACAAATAATAAATACCACAATGCACAGCGGCAAGATCCACAATATTGCACTAAATAGGAAATGCACTTTGACACGACAACTTGTCGTAACGTTCTTATCTTCAGGCGATTCCAGTCTGACTGTCACATAACGTTAGAAACAGTATCTTGCACAATAACAATGTGCTTATTTGCTGTTAAAAATAAAAGAAGGTTTATTTCATTTTCACCGTCGGTGGGCGCGCGCGATAGGGGTTCACTATAATTCCGGTTTAAAACGTAGTACACCAAACCCCACTAAATGATTACAATCAAATATTTTGCCGAGTATTGACTCACAATGAATAATATATATAAATTTTAGTTTATTCGGTTTTTTTTCGCCTGTTAAATTAGTTTGAGATGATTTATCACAGCTTACAAACTGACAAAAAATACTAAAGCATTATTGTTATATAGTGACACAGCTATTTATATATAGTTGTGTGTGCACTCAGATCACAAGTCGAAGGCTACATTTTCTATCATCCTCGTAAAAAGATTGAAAAGTCGCAAAATGTCCCATTATAACTCATGATGGTTCTGTAGATGGGAAATCATGGTCACATTTGCACCAAACTTTGAAACTTAGTTTATTTTTTTTACTTCCCGTGTGTGCGACGCAATTTCGGCGTGTCTATGTGTCTATGTAGCACACAGGTACATTCCGATAATGAGTGCGCAGACATAGTAGTTTTAGGACCATTTCCATGCATATTAAGTTCTAAGCGGATTTTGATTAAATTTAGTACATACTTACCTCGGAATAATGTACAGACATTAGTTTTAGAGCTGAAAGTGCATGTCAATTCGCGAATTCAATTGCATATTGTTTCATTCCAGCCTGTGTAAAATTTATATTCACAGAGTGTAGCGTTTACGTAATTATTGTAATTTGTAATTTATTCATTTAGAACAGTACATCCATAAATGGTTTTTCATGCACAGCATATAGATATAAAAATTAACATAGAATTAAACAAACCACTGCAAAAATGAGGAGAACACAATAAAGAAAATCATAAATAGGGTTTTAAAATAAAATGACTACGAAATATGATAAAATTACAATAAAAAAATGACATTAACATAGCAGTCTGAACAAAACGATAAAATGCATAAATGGGGTAAAATATGAATTGACAACAAAGTAGTACGATAAAATTATACAATATTATTAGCAGCTGTAGCTGCGCGATATTTAAAAGAGCGAGTGTGAGATTTTGAAATATGAAATCGATTTCTGGTGTTGTAGGAATGGATGGCAGAGTTTGAAATGAGAATAAATATGGTGAGACTAAATATTGCTTGTATTTGTAAACGAGTTTATTTAAGTGTTTAGTTTGTCTGTCTTGAATGGTTGGCCAACCAAGAGCTGATC